TACCACTTCAGTTGAAAGGTTATAGCAGTGAATACATGATCGCGGAAAATGTCTTGGGATAATGCTGGCTATCTCAGCTAAGAATTGGAGATAAGAACTATTCCCTAGAGTCAGAGCTGGACCAGGAAACCTTTACCTTAACCTCTTTATATTTTGAAAAGAGCACAGCATTATATCACTCAAGTTACATTGCTCAGACGTATTTTACCATTTTCATTTTTGCAGATGTCTATCAAAATGACCCCAGATCACCAACTCAAATACTATAGCTCTTGTAAGATTGCAACTCTTTAGTTTATTTATTGAAGGAAAGATTGAAGGCAAACGAGGTCAGACAAAAGAAGAGTATCAATGGTTTCAAAATCTAAGGGACTGGTATGGACAAAACTCAGAAGCACTTTTTCATGTTGTTATTGATAAAAATAGGATCGCCAACTTGATTGCCAACATCCGATGATGGATATGGCAGAAAAAGGAGAAGGAGGAGGAGGAGAAAGAGAAGAAGAAGAAGAAGAAGAAGAAGAAGAAGAAGAAGAAGAAGAAGAAGAAGAAGAAGAAGACAAGGAGGAGGAGGAGGAGGAGGAGGAAGAGGAGGAGGAGAATTAGTAGTTCAGTTATATTAAATAATACCACATTCAAATGATCTAGCATTGTACTGCTTTGTGTAAGTCGCAGGTACACTGGGAACAACCAAACCGTAGACTTGTAACTACTAGGACTAATAGCACTTAATTTAATACTGCAATCATGTATACATTTTCTCAGTAGTACTGGCTTACTTCTGGTTACTTACCTCTGTGTATACATAAAGTAGGACTATGTAAGATTTAAAATAGAAAAGTGCAGTCTTGTTAACATATTCTTTTTTTTTTGTATTTTCACTGCTGTGTGAAGAGAGTTTATTGCATTTTCCCCAATTTATAAATTATAATTGGCAACAAAATTTTATATTCTGTTCAGTTTAGATTTTTTTTCTTACGCGATATTAATTCTGCCGCTGGAGTTGAATGTTGCATTTCCTTTCTTTCTACACTTTTAGCTAGTATCCTATGATAGTGCTCACAATGTAAACCTTCCACTAAAGGAAAAAAAAATAGGTTAATATTGGTGGTAATAGTTACATTCATTCTTGGTGGGGAATACAAACATACTTGTGCTATTTTTCTTAGCAATGGTGTAGAACTATTTTTGCATTGCATTTTTCTGAGACTTTTTAGTTTTCTAAATCAACAACTTTCCCCACTTCTGCCATTCAAATGAAATGGGCTGCATTCATTTTTTGTTCAAGCTGTCATTCATTTAAATAGGCCTTATGTATTTGTCCTTAACAGCTGATTGATGTCTTGGAAGAAACGGACTGAAAAATTTATTAATTTCTAAGTACCTTTGGTCATTCATGGTCTTGAAAAATTTGAGGATGGAGAATTATTGATCAGCTGTTAGCATACACTAACATTTAAAATATGGGAATGGTGCATTTTCTTCTGTGAAATGGGAATGTCTTAAGTTTTTATTATGCTAAAACACAGGTGGCCTTTCTAGTAACAAACAACAGAGAAGTAAACCAACCTCAATTCATGCTTCTAGCAGAGTTAATTTAGCTTGGTACTAAATCAAACAGAACTGGAACTGTTAATCCAGTATCAACATCTATGCTTTGAATTTCATTTTTGTATATGATGGGATATATTTTTTTAGGAATGGATCAAAAACACCCCACGCTGAGTTAGGAAGGATGTACTTTCCATCAATTGCATTGACTGCAACTTATAATGGTGTTTAATTGGATAGCATTTTAGAAGATGAATGAAACACCTTTATATTTGCTGTAGGGATGAAATGGCTCAGTGGCTAAGATGCTCAGCTTGTCAATCAAAAAGGTTGGAAGTTCGGTGGTTAGAATCCCTAGCGCCACATAACAGAGTGTGCTCCGGTTATTGTCCCAGCTTCTGCCAACCTAGCAGTTCGAAAGCACATAAAAATGAAAGTAGAAAAATAGGGACCATCTTTGGTGGGAAGGTAACAGCAGTCTGTGAGCCTTCGGCATTTAGTCATGCCGGCCAGGTGACCATGGAGATGTCTTTGGACAGCACCTGGATCTTTGGGTTTGAAATGGAGATGAGCACTGCCCCCTAGAGTTGGGATCGATTAGCACATATATGTGAGGGTTACCATTACCTTTATATTTACTGTATCAATGTATTCATTCATTCATTCATTCATTCATTCATTCATTCATTCATTCATTCATTCATTCATCATTCATTCATCATTCATCCAAAAGGAGAGACATGTTCCCCACCTTCAAACACAGTAAGAGAAGTGTTTTGCCATTACTCTGTTTACCATTTTATTGCCTCTAGTCATTCATGCATTTTAGATGATGATTTATGAGCTAGAAGCCAATGCACTGTAACACAGTTTCACCAGTTCACTCCTAGTATCTAACCACAAAGCCATTCCTCCCATAATAACATTCCAATTGCACAGTGCAATCGTTGCACTCCTCTCACCCACGAGGTAGATAAACATCCCTAGGCTACTGACGATATCGGAGTTGAATATAATGTTCTCTATTGTCTGCGGAGTGGAAGGGCAGCCCTAAGCTTGCTCTGCATTTCCAATGTAAAGCATTTCATATTTTCCCAGTTAGAAACAGAAGCCTGCTTAATGGTTCAGGCAACCTGTATTCAAACCCAAGTTGTTTGAATATGATTGATACAGTTGCTTATTGTTTTGCCGGTGGTGAATTGCCGGGGGGGGGGGGAGGGAGAATGTTTTTTCAGTACTGTTGGTGTTGCACCAAAGAATGGAATGGAACAGAATGGAACAGAACGGAACAGAATAGAGAACAGCAAGAAAGAATGGAATGGAATGGAATGGAATGGAATAGAATAGAATAGAATAGAATAGAATAGAATCTGGAAGGGACCTTGGAGGTCTTCTAGTCCAACCCCATGCTCAAGCAGGAGACCTTATACCATTTCAGACAAGTGACTGTCCAGTTGCTTCTTAAAAACCTCTAGCAATGAAGCACCCACAACTTCCAATGACAAACTCCCACTGGTTAATTGATTTCACTGTTAGGAAGTTTCTCCTTAATTCTAGGTTGCTTCCCTCCTTGCTTAGTTTCCATTCCTTGTTTCTTTTCTCTTGCCTTCTGGTGCTTTGGAAAATAAGTAGTCCCCCCCCCCTTATCTTCTTGGCAGCCTGTCAATTACCAGAACACTGTTAGCATGTCACCCCAGTCCTTCTTTTCTCTAAGACTAGCCATACCCAAATCCTTAGTTGTTGTTGCTTAGGTGCAGAATTCCAGAGTGGCAAGAAGAAACCAAAGCATGAGCAGAGGATTTTGAGCAGTGGTGGGATTCAGACAATTCGCACCTATTCGGGAGAACCAGTTGTTAACTTTCTAAGCAGTTCGGAGAACCGGTTGTTGGAATAAATCTTATTTTGTTTGTTTTCCACTTTACAGGGCTAATTCTGTAAGGAAGGCAGGAAGGAAACATGCTGGTGTTG